AAATCTTTAAAAACAAAACAAAAAGGACTGAGACCAAACTACGGCCAGATGCCACTTGAAGTACTTTACTCTCAGCATCTCATGTAATTTTACTAGTTATGAAATGACAGATTTGGAGAGCTATTAAGCCCAAGCAGTGAGTAAGTCCGAGCCCCGGTCTGAACTCCAACCTGATGGGAGAACCCTCCGCCTCCCCAGTTCAGGCCTCTCTCTCAGGACAAAGGGGCTGGCCAGCAGCAGCCCAGATGGGACAACCTGGGTCAGCAGCCACAGCCTGACTTCACCCTCCCTGGCGGAGCCCAGGTCAGTGTCGAGTCCCGCCCTAAGGAGCCACAAGCCAGTCCCGCAACCTGGGAGGGCCCTCCTGCCACACCCAAGGCTTCTTCTGCAGGGTTTCCTCCTAAGGCCCCTGAGGATGGAGGGGAGGCGGGGAGTAGAAATGCGTGCATTCCCTGAACACATCCCATTCTGGGGGCCTCAGTCCCTTATATGCAACCCAACGACAGACTCTCTCCAGGGAAGCCACAGATTGGATAATGGCCAAGCCTAAAGAGCAAAGCCATTCCGCAGAGGAGGTGGGCAACTTGCCTGGGGCGGGGGTGATAGGCTGCCCTGCCCATCCTATCAGGCCCCATTCCACAGCCTCCTACTTGCCTCAAAACTTGAACAGCTGACCCAAGAAGCTTCCAAAGGATGTCAGGTCGTGACCTCGTGGCGCAGTGGTAGCGCGTCTGACTCCAAAGGATGTCAGGTCTAGGGGAAAGGGACCATGCCTGTCTGGTCCATGGTTGTGCCCCAGTGCTTAGTGCCCTGACACTTGAGAGACGCTCGTGTTCTTTGAAGAACTCCCTCACTTCCTGCAAGCCTGTGTTCAAATGTGGCCCTTCTTGCTGAGGCCACCCTCATCGCCTTCTCAGGCTGCAACCTGCCTCCCACCCTAAGCCCCTACTTTGTTCTTATACTATGTAACTCGAATCACCTTTTCACACTTCTGTTACTTATGCTCGTTTCCTGTTACTCACACTCCCCACTCTTTAGAACATGAGTCCTGGTGCGGCAGGACGAACCAGCGGGTACTCATCGCATGACCGAGTGAACAGCCAGGACTAAACAGAGATCAACGAGGCAAAGGTCTTCTCCAGTTGGGAACCACTGACCCCAAAGAGCACTGGGCTGGGGCTCCTTGGGGAACTTCCCCACCTTGTTCTCAAGTCTCGGGTCAAGCCCAGGGTCAGGTAGACATCATGCCTGGCATCCTGCTGGGGCTACCTCTGTGGGCACCGCATCAGACTAAGGCTCCAGGACACCCAGCTCGGCAGCAAGGAGGATCCAAGAATAATATTAGTTACTAGACTCAGGTAGTCCTGTGCCCAGATGTCCCTCTCCACAAATGCTGGGAACACTGAGTCAGGTGTCTTGAGAGAAGGCTCTAGTCTCTGCTGAATTCCTTCAGGGTAGAGTCAGGTACCTAAAGCTGTCCCCACGCCCAGAGGAGCCTCTCCTTACTCAAGAATTCACTGTCGTTCCTGGGAAGGGGAAGGAGCAGGGTGACTCTCCGAAGTACCAGTTTCCTCTGAGAAACAGGGTGGGGAGGGGAGGTCACCTCCAAAGGAACTGGGCACAGCCCCATGGTGCCAGGGCACAGGGAGAGGAGGGTGTCCTGGGGAACCCTGCGAGCCAAGGCTAGAGAAGAACAAGCGGGACTGACGGCCCCACTGGGGGACGCCCCCTCCTGCCCCATACCCTGCTTCTCCCTGAAAACTGCTCCTGGGTAGGGGAAAACAAAGTTGCCGAACAGACTTGGCCTGCCTCAACCCAGGAGGAGCCCTGATAGTGGTATCGCCTGAGCGAGATAAGAAAGCTTCTCTGAGTACTCAGGAGAAGTCAGTCCAGGCGGCCGTGCTGCTCACAGGAGCCAGCCCAGCAGCGGGGACCATGGGCCTCTGGGGCCTCCACTCAGGTGTCTCAACAGCTGTCCCTGGCACTTCTAGAAGGACCAGGGAAGTTGAGGAATCCTTCAGGAAACTCCGTGCTCCTGGAGACTCTTGCCCGGGATGCTCAATGTCTCCAGTGGGTAGCCAAGGAGTCCCAGACAGATGGCAGAGGCTCCGCGACTTCTAGTTCCATGGACCACTTTCTCTATGGGGTGCAGGGTGCGTGGGCGCCTGGGGCCAGGAACTCCTGGCAGGGGAGGATGCCTCTTCCCTAAATGAGGTCGAGAGAAAGCACTATGGAATCCCCAGAAAGGCTCCTTAATGGCAACAGAGCAGCACAAGAATGTGATCGCCTCCACCCCCAACAGCGTACAGAATGCATGCAGCCAAGCCCTCTGCTGAGCAAAAACCTGAGCAGATTAGATTATATACCCCCTTCCTCCCAGCAAAGGCCCCCAGCTGGGGTCTGGCCACCAGGTCTCACTCCTGGCTCTACCAAGGAGCAGGGCAGGTACCAAGGGACACTTGGTAGAGGCCACTGTCCTCTACCTCTGCCTCCCTAGTTTCAAGGAAAAATATTCCATTTTAAAAGGTCTGACATCCAGAGGCTTTCAAAAATGAGGGCCTCTTTGGTGACTTCTGGACAAAGAAGCCAAATCCCCCTGCAACCCAGCAGGCATGTCCAAAATGCTTAGGTGTCTGCCCAAAGCTCCACAAGTGAGGCTTTTTATGCTTTATGGAGCACGTTAAGCAGCTCGTCCACCCCCGATGGCTGCTCTATGCCAGGCCACACGTGTTCCTGACATTTTTCCCCCCATTCTCCTGTCAACAAGCCTCCCTGAGGCTTGGCATGCTAGTTAGGCGACTTAGCCAAGATCATGCAGCAAGAAGAAATCAGCAAGGCATGATTCAGAGCTAAACCTGTTACCTGGAAGGACACTAAAAAACTTAACACCACGTTTGAAGAAAAAGCCTCACCACAGAGAGGCAAGAAGGAGTTTTGCTTCTTCATACTTTCTAAAACATTTCACGTTTCCTGCTATGGGCTCCTGTTGCCTTTTTAATTTTTTTAAACTAATGGGGTCAGCTGGAATTATGGGCCTTTCCCTTCTTTCAATGCAACTGAATTAAAAAACGTTAAGTGCTCAATTATTAAGTTATTAAAATGATATTATTCTGCCACCAAAGGGGCACTCCGCTGACTCAAAGAAGAGTAGAGATGCAGACTGACCTCAGATGCTGGAAACACCATCCAGTGCCCATCCCCCTCACCCCCCACAACCCCGGCCAAGTGATTGGCCTCGTCTAACTTTGGAGTTGTAGTCAGAGCCTCCAGAGCTGACTTTGCCTCTTGACTGCCACAGGTGAACAGTGTGGGCAGATCACTTAAGAAAACCAAATCTAGGGGCACCTGGGTGGCTCAGTGCGTTAAGCCTCTGTTTTTGGCTCAGGTCATGATCCCAGGGTCCTGGGATCGAGCCCTGCGCGCCCCGCATCCAGCTCTCTGCTCAGCAGGGAGCCTGCTTCCCTTCCCCCCCCCCCCCCGCCTGCCTCTCTGCCTACTTGTGATCTCTCTCTCTGTGTCTAAATAAATAAATAAAATCTTTAAAAAAGAAAAAGAAAAAGAAAACCAAATCTAGGGTGCCTGGTTGGCTCAGTTGGTTGAGCACCAGACTCCTGATTTTGGCTTATGTCTTGATCTCAGGGTCCTAGGATGGAGCCCCAAGTGGCAGGCTCTGGACTCAGCAGGAAATCTGCTGGAGGGTTTCTCTCGCTCTGCCCTTCCCCCTGCGTAGTGCTGGGGTGCTCTCTCTCTCAAATAAATAAATCTTAAAAAGAAGGAAGGAAAGAATGAAGGAAGGAAGACAGACCTGAATGCTCTGCCCATAAGGTAAGTAAGGAGGACCATCTCTCCCAGGACCCTTCCCATGCCTCAGCTCTGGAGGACCCGGCCCGTCTTCCTCAAAAGCCCTTCTGACCGCGGCTTCCCCTGGGGCTAGGCCACAGCTATTCCGTAGCGCTGCTCCGTTCCTCCCACCTGGGGTTTTCTGTCGCCCTTAACACACTCATTCCCTCCCAGCTCCCCTCCCTGCTCACAATCCCCTCAGCAGCCGGACAGGACTCTGAGTTGTAAACTCTGCAGAGGATCCCAAGAGCCCAGGTTAAGACGCCCCGCATCTGGCACTGTGGATCCCCACGGGAAGGGGCACTGAGTCCAAGCCCTGCCCCCTCACTCCAAACTCACCTGCTCTCAGGTGAGAGCCTGAGGGGGCCACACCGCGGTTCTCCTGGGTACAGTCCTTTCTCCCCACAGCTAAAGCTCAGTGTGTCTACAAACTGCCCAGCAGGGGCAAACCAAGAGCAAACTTTGGACGCTTTCTTTGGCAAGACGGTATTTTTCACTCCTCACCAAGTCCTAACGTATCACAGCGCAACTCCACCCCCGTCGTCGTGGAAAACTTACTGATCTCCATACCTTCCCTTAAAGGTGTCCAAGGCAGCCAGAGGCGGAGAGAGGCCCAGACCGAAGTCCCTCCCGCGAGCTTCCTGCGTCCGGGGATTAGGACGCACAAAAGGCCGGCAGGGAGTGGGCCCAGATGGTAGGGGCAGGGACTAAGCCGGCGAGGTAACGTGCTGCGGCCGCTGCTCGCACAGAGCCGGCTACCTGAGACGCGCGTCGCCAGCCTCCGGGGCCAGGCGCCTTGCACGTGGGGCCCAAGGAGCGGGGATCCCACCCCCGCTCGCGGTGACCTCCGGCACTCAGCCCGGCTGGGCACTTGTTTCCCCGTTTCCCAAAACCAACTCTATTAGGCAAACCCGGAGCTCAAATTCAGTAAACGCGGGCAGATCCGCCAGAGATAAGTTCCGAGCCGCACTTCCTACAGGTGTCCTTCGCCCAGACAAACCGACCCACGGCATCCAGGGCGAGGCGCGCGGACCCCAGCACAGCTCTTCCCGCCCCGCCCGCGGACGCAGGGGTCTCGGCCTTCCCCCGCCTTCGCACCCCGAGTGGAGGGCGCCCCGAAGGGGCGGACCCGGATGGGTGTTTCCGCGCCCGCGCCTCACCTGGAACCCCAGGCCGGCCCCCGCCCGAGGCCTCGGCGTCCCACCGCACCGGCCGCCGGTTCCGCTCACTCCGCCGCCGGCCCACGGGCTGCTGGGCGGCCGTCTCCTTCCTGCTCACCTCCGGCGCGGCGAGCAGGGGGCGGAGCCGCTGCTATTTACATAAAGGGCGAGCCGGCCTGCCTCGCAGGGCCGCCAGCCCCGGGCCCTAGCGGCCCCGCCCCCGGGCCTGGTCCCGCCCCTCTACGGCTCCGGGCAGAAGGGGCGGGAGCGCAGGGAGGGCCCCCGGGGAGTGGGGGGCGGGCGGTCGCCGCTCTCCGGCCAATCCTCGCCCCCGGGGAGCGCGGAGGCGGGGCCGCGGCCGGCGTGAATATGCACGAGGCACTGCGGGCCCACCCCCGGCCTCACCTGCGCGCACCTGGACTCAGGCTGGAGTGCCGCGCCCAGTGTCCTGCCGCGTGCGGGAGGAAATAGTCCCTGGAACGCACGGCATCCTGGGCCGCCTCCAGGATGGATCGCCGAGGGGAACGGCCCCTCCCCCACGTCGGCCCGGAGCGACTGCTGGAGGGACGTAGCCGCGCCGGGTCTTCCCGAAGACGCCCAACCCAGTCCGAGCGGGTGACCGGTGGACGCTGGGCCGTTTCAGGACCCAAGAGCGAGGTGGCTTGGGGACGGGGGCGTCGCCACGAGGCGCCTCCCCTCGGGGCGGGTCCCAAGTCTGAACCCTGGTCCTCCCTGTCTCTGCGGAGGCAGGAAGGCGCCCAAGGCCCCGAAAGACAGCAACATTGACCGGAGCTTTTAGCGCAACTGGAGAGTGAGTTGGAGCGACGAGAGGCAGGAGCGGAAGGGGCGCGGAGGCCAGGGACGCGAATGGCGCGCTCCACAGCACGACCCGAAGCACTGGGGCTCAAGGCGCGCCGACGTGGCGCCTCCCCGCCGCCCCTCTATCCCGAAGTGGCTGAGTTCAGGGAAAGCCCGAGGGAGCGCCAGCCTCCCTCCGCGGACGACCATTCAGAAAGCCAAGCTAATTAGGTCTGTGACTTCCCGTGCCCCGGTCCTGAGAAAGGTGCGGGGTCGCGTTCTTGCCCTCCCGGGGAGACTTCGCTCCCGCGCCAGAGAAAGCGTTGTGTGCGGGCGGGCAAAGATAGGGTGAGGGCCTGGGGGCCAGGTCCACGGACATCGGGACTTTCTGGGGGCGGGGAGGGGAGGGGAAGGAGGGCTGGAGGCTCCAGCTGGAGACTCGTCCACTATCTCCAGCCACAGCAGAAAAGCGATCTATTTTTTAATGGCTTTGGCTTTATCGCACGAAGCAGGCACCCTCTCGTTTAAAGGCACAGAGTCCTCTCTTCTGCCCCACCCCGCTGGGTCTCTGAAATCTAGTCCTGAGTTCCAAGACATCAATCTCAGGCCTGGGACTATGGAAGCCAGGAAGGGGGGCGGGGCATGGCTTCGTTCTCCTGCAAGCATCAGACACCCAGGGCCAAGGCCCAGAACAGCCCCTGAAGCTACAGGTCAGGGTCTGAGTATAAGAGGCAGCGGAGATGGTCCCTGAGAGTAGACAGTCCAGGTCCCCCAGAGCAGGTCCCATGCCCTGCCAGAGCAGCGTGACTAGTGTTCCAGATCCCTGGGCAGCGTGAAGTCCCTGAAGCTGTAGAAGGAGATGTCTCCATGATCCACCAGGGCAAAGATCAGAGGAACATCCCCACTCTGGTAGGATAACCGCTTGAGGGTACAGAGGTCTGGAACTGGCTCATCAAATCTGCAGGGATAGAGTTAGACTGAGACGTGGACACAGGCCACCCATAAACTCTGAGCCCCCAGCCCTCTTCGGCTACCAGGGAAGGGAAATCATAAGACAGGAGTTGAGGGTACAAGAAGTCGGGCCTCTGGACTCTCCTGTCTGCAAACTGCTTGGCTCTGACCTGTTCTCCAAGAGTGACCCAGAGCCTTGATTGGGTACGGGGGCTCGGAAGAGTGAGCTCTTAGCCTGTGAATCCCTTTGATTCACATCCCTTTTGCTGGATGAGCCCTGCAGTAAATTAGCACAGGACAGAGACAACCAAAGATGCCAGGAATGAAGGCTAAGGACCAGGGAAGCTCCGGTTCCTATAGCACGGACTGGCTGTGCGGCCCTGAGTCAGTCACAGCTCTCCGGAACCATGGTTCTTCTGACTGGCAAACTGGCCAGGGGCACAGAGGGCAGGTCCATGTGGTTTACAAGAGAACGGGCAGCAGCCTGGGAGTAGTGCGCACTGGTCTCGTACCCACTAATGCACATCCGGGCGTAGGGCCTGCCAGGGTTATTCTTTCGGAATGTGGCCACGGCATCAGCCTGGTAGATGTCAAAGCTGATCTCCAAGCCCCCAGACTTCTCCAGCAGCCTGAGGACACAGTGAGAAACCTTAAGAAACAGGGACCCTCCGCCTCCCTTTTCCCTGCCATGCTTTCCCTCCCGCAGTTCACCAAGCAGCCTCATCAAGAGGAACTGAGGTCCTCCCACTTGGGCAGTGGAAGGTTCCAGCTGCCTATCGCAAAATCCTCAGGCTAAATCCACCTCTTGCCTTTCATCCCTCCCTCTGCCCTAGACACACATGAATATCCCCCAGCTCATGTCCAACCTCAGGAGTCAAGCTCCAGCTGCCAACTCCTGCTAGCAGCCAAGGCACCCTGGAGACAGGCACTACCTGGAGACTCACCGGGCACCTCCATCAGCAAGGTGTGTGGTCCGCAGCACAGAGAGATGCTGCAGGGCTGTGGCTGCGAGGACAGTGAAAATAAGGTGTTGGGGGGGGGGGTCAACTATCTACAGACTCCTCTGACATTTCTGAATCTGCCATCTAGTTTAGTGTTGCCAGACTTAACAGATTAAATAAAATTGTAGGTATGTCCAATATTTGGAATACACTTACACTAAAAAAAAATTAGCTGATTATCTGAACTTCAAGTAGAACCCATCTGGCAACCCTAATCTTGTTACTTAGAATCTCCCATGTTCTCATAAAGACTGTAAAGAATTCTGCATCTCTTAATACTGTTCTTGCCCTATTAGTTCCCTGTTCTTAAACATGCAAGGTGTACCAGTAAGCCTTTTATTTGGCCAAGATGGCACCTCCTTGCTCCCCTACCCCCGAGTTGAGAGAACAGGGACCACAGCTGGCTGGTAGCAGAGCTGCCCGCATGCATCTTGTTTATGATTTTAAGGATACAGTTGTAGTTTCATTCCCCTTCCCCTCTCCCTGGACACAGACTCGCCAAACCTTCCCACATGGGTCCTTTTGCTGCTTTGCAGGAGAACAGACTGTCCTTGTGGGTTCCACTCCATGGGACAGCTCTCTCCGCCCCAGCTTTCTTAAGCCTCAATTAGTCATGGCCAATCCATGTCCCTTTCAAAGTCTTAGGACTCCTCAGCTGCCAGGGGCCTGCAGGGTAAGGAGGTACCTGGGGAGTCTGCCTGGCCAGGACTCAGCAAGGGTCTGACAGGCTGGTCCCACAGATGCGGGGGGCGGCTCCGGCTCTTCTGCAGGTGCCGTCTTCGCAGCAGCTGCTTGTACTCCTGCCAGCTGGAGCAGCACCGCACCTCGGGATCCAAGTTCACATCCTCCCGGAAATGCTGGGCCTCTGCATGTTGCTCCCGTTCCCTCCTGGAGAGCTTCTCCTTCCTCTGGTTCAGCTTCTGACACCAGGATTCCGCATCTGTCTCCCGCCCAGCGACGTTGACCGGGAGCAGTTCTGGGGCTGGGGCAAGCAGAAGGGTGTGGCGGCTATCTGAAGCCATGTTGGGGAAGGAGATCTGTTCAAAGTTCCAGCGTGGCTTACAAACCCCCTTGACCCCGTTCTCTACTTTGCCACTCTCCTGGCTGCACCCCACCCCCTCGTTAGCCAGGTCAGGCCAGGGCTGCAGGGATCCCAGAAGCTCAGATGGGCCCACTGGGCCCTTTACAGGGTTGGACTCCTGAGGTTTCTCCTCTCCGCATTGGTTGTTCTGGTTGCAAGGAGGTGGGCTGGAGGTTGTCAGGCTCTCTGGTGTCTCATTCACCCCCTGCGGGGGATTCTCCAGGGCCTTGGCCTTCTTGTTAATGGACCTGAGGGATGTGGGGAGGAAATTCAGCATGTCTGGTCCTGATGGCTGAGATGCATACATCCCACACACATGCTACTGCCTCCAGGATCCTACTAGGGAGCCACCCAAGCCTAGCTCTTAAGCCAATGCATTCTCCAAGGTCCCCAAAACGAGTACTCCCTTAACAGCTCTGCTCCCCAGAACTCCCTGGGTGGGGGGTGGGGGTGGCCATGTGGGAAACATTACCGAGAGCTGGAGCTCCTCCTCTTCCTCTTGCCATTCTGATCCTCTAAGCAGCGGGCACTGCCGTCCAAGTTCAGCTGTCTCTCGTAAGGGGACAGGATGGAGCTGTGGGGTGAGAATCGGGTGGGCAACAAATCCACTTCCTCAGCCTGGAGTTCCCAGTAGAATTTGTGAGGGACTGGCCCAGAAGATAAATCAGTGGGCCAGGGTCAAAGCCAAACCCAAGGGACAAGTCCCTGGGCAGACCTGCAAGCAGGGTAAATGGGGGCAACCGCAGGGGCCTGCCCATGTGTCTTTGCCCAGGCCTCTGGGTCTCACCAATGGCCCCTTTGAACAGAGACTTACTGGAACTGGGGCTCCTGGAGAGCCGGCAATAAATGATTAACCACTAGTGAGAAAAATGAAGAGACCAGAAAACTTGGAAAATACAGAAAAATAAAAATACAAACATTTTTGGTTCTTATAAACATGCACCCTCTCTCATATGTTTTTTTCCTATCAAAAATTACATTGTACTGGGGTGCCTGGGTGGCTCAGTCAGTTAAGCATCTGCCTTCAGTTCAGGTCGTGATCTTGGGGTCCTGGGATCAAGTCCCACATCCAAGGTGCCTGCTCAGCAGGGAGTCTGCTTCTCCCTCTCCCTCTGGCTCCTGCACTCACCCATGCTCTCTCTCAAAATCTTAACATTCTGCTATTTAATCTCCTCTTACTCTCAATAACATATTATAGACATAACCCCTTCTGACTATAGCATTCTTCCCTACCAAGATTTTTGTTATGGTGCTAAGGCTGCACTTTCCAAATGATACCCACTAGACACAAGGGGCAATTAAGATTAAATTAAATCCATTAAAATTAAACAAAAATTCAGTCCCACAGTTGCACAAGCCACATATATTGGACAGCAGAGACCTGGAATGTTTTTATCACTGCAGAAGGTTTTACAAGACAGCACTGCTCTAAGGGACAAACTCAAATTTGTGTGACCGTGCCATCCCCGTTGAACTCACAGGATGTTTCCAAGTTCACCAATTTTGCAAAGTGATGATTATTTTGTGTAACCTCCCCACTAAATACATGTTCTGTGAGGACAGTGACTTTGCTATTCCTCAGCAATGAGCACAGGGCCTAGCACCCAGTAAGAAATCAACAAATACTGTCAAATGAATGAATGAATGAACATTTTCACAGGTGAACTTATGCACACACCTGTGTCTATTTCCTTGGGATATATCTCACTTTTAGGAAGTAAAGGGCATACTTGTTCTAGAATTTTCGTGACACACTACAAAACAGTAAAGAGTATACCAGTTTCTACTCTATGGCTGATGGTCTCTGTGGCTCTTAGCAATGCTGAGCTATTAAGGTGATCATGTTTAGAGGCCTCAGAAGGAAAGAACATCTAACTTAGCCAAAGGAATGTGAGACCCTACTCAACTGTTAATGCCTCACTTGGCCCGCCATTCATGCATGCACTTGACAATCTGCTTACACACCCACTGAGGCACCGTTCTGGATTAGAGCTATGTGCCAGTGCACTGTCATGAGCTAGAAGTGCTTAATCGTTATCTGCGGAGCAAACAGGCTGAAGATGGGGCTCAATTTGATAACCCAGGATAAGCTGAAATGACCAGCGTGCCTCTTGATACAGCACTTCCAACAGAGGCCCCCAGCCCATGCCCAGGGAGCTGCAGCTCCAGCCAAGGATTCCAGGTCAAGAGAGGCCATTTTCCACCTTGGGGCTCATCTACCAGGTCCCATGACTGGAATAAATGGGAGGGAAATGGGATTGGGATTTACCTTGGTTGGAATCGTCGAACCACGTAGCCCAGTCTCTTCAGGTGGCTGAAGGCCTCAAAGAGAAAAAGTAAAGATCAGAGGCCCACTTTTGAAAACACCAAATAGTTCCTTCAGATAGGAGCCACTCCCCAAGTGGCCTCCCCTGCTCCTCCTGCACACCCCAATTCCAAACCCTGGGATTGGCTGGATCATACTCCCATTACAAACACCCTCCCCAAACTAAGGTCTCAGTCTCTGAATTCCTGTCTCTTGCTTACCTTACTCTGGGCATAAATGACATTCAGCATTTTCTTGATTTAAATGCAAAATCCCAAAAAAGCTGATAGCTGATGAATCAGAAAAAGAACTACGCACTAGAATGGTATGATACCAAAGCTGTCCAGTGCAAAACTCCTGACCAGAGTGTGAACAAGGAAGTGGCAAAAGGCGGTAGACAGTACACTCCCCCACCCTGCCCCTCCACCCTATACCTCCACAGACAGGAGTAGGGTAGGAGTGGTCTTTGGTAAAGAACGGTATGTCCATCCTTGTGTTCTAATACCCGTATCAGAGAGATGTACGCAGGAATGACCCCATCCTGCTTGATCTCTCAGCAGCCTTCAACAGAGCCAATTACTTCTTCCTTCTTTTGGCTTCCGTGACACCACCTCTCCTGGTTTTTCTCCTGTGTTGTCAGACACTCCTTGGTCTGTTTCTGGTTCCCATCTTTCCCCTCATCACACTGGAACCCTCCAGGTCTTGGACCCAGCTCTTGATCCTGACTACGTTCCCGTGCAGCCCTGTGGTTTTAAATACCACCCACAATCTCATGATGTCTACATTTACGTCTCTAGCCTCGTGCCCCTCCCCTGCTTTGTCTTCTCCCCAGTGCTCAGTTCTGTGAAGTCAGTCACTCAGTTGCTTGCTCACTTATGCCCAATTGCCACCACTAGGATGCAGGCACCATGACCGCAGAGCCCTTGGCTGTCCTGTAGTCCCAGCACATAGCTCTGTGTCTAGCACCTCGCGGGTACTTATGAATCCTCACTGACTCAGTGGACGGGTAGCTCCTCTCCCGGGAGAGGGTGGCAGATACCTGGTACTGCAGAAAAGTCACAGTGTCCTCAGTCAGCAGTAGCTGGTAGGCCTCCTGAAGAGACAGTGGCAGATCTTGGTGGAAAAGCTGGATGGAGCCCTGCAAGTGGGGCCAACAGCTCAGCTTGTGGACCCTCCTGCAGTTGCTCAACCAGTGGGGCAACTTCGAGGCGGTGATACATGGGTGCCCTTCCTTTCCCCCCTCCCCGACCCCCAGCGTCACAGCAAGAATGTGGCCAACCAGGAAAGGAGGGCACCACCTCTATTTCGGACGGGAATCCCCGCTCTCTGCATGGTTCTAGAATTCGCGTTACAAGCTTTTTGAATCCTCAGTTGTATATACACTTTTACTCTAATAAAAACATGTCCTTTCGGTTTCTTGCTCCCCACCCTTCCTCCCCCTCCGGGGGCCCCACTCACACACTCCAGCAGATATAAGGCCTCTTCGGGGTGAAGCCGCTGCCGGCCCTGCTCTGAGAAGCCCATGGTCTGCCAGAATTTACCCTGTGTAGGACCCCGAGCAAATGTCACAAAGAAGCCAGGAAGGCACAGAAGGCGGGTCCCTCTCCCCGAGCCCCGCCTCTCACCGCAGGAGACTTCAGTTCCACGAAGCCCTCTTCCGGCCTCCACTCGGCAGCCACCAAACTGCCCCTGGCGAAGAGTGGGAGGGGGTCCGTCTGAGTCCCCCCGCGAA